CAACATAGGGATAGAATCTTAAAGGTGCTTAGAGAAAAGCAACAAATCACTTATGAAATAAACCCATTAGAATCTCAGCAGACTTCTCAACACAAACCTTAAAGGCCAGAGGAACTTGGAGTGAAGTGTTTCAAGCCCTAAAAGATAACAACTTCCAACCCAGATGTATATTTCCTGCAAAACTTTCTTTTAAAAATGATGAGAAATAAGGTATTTCCATGACAAAGAGACTCAAATTCATGAGCACCAAGTCAGCACCCCCAAAAATTCTCAAGAATGTCCTAGAAAGAGCAATGAAACAAACAATGCAAAAAAAAATCTATTAAAATGAGTAACAGGGAGCAGGGGCATAGCTTGAGTTAATTGAAATTTCTTGTTTCAGTTTTTTGAGGATTTCCCCTACTGATTTCCATAATGGTTCCACTGTGATTCAGGATCAAGTCTGGAGCCTGGGCCCTGGCACAAAGCCCTGGAAGGGCAGGAATTCGCTTTTCCCTTCCCCGCCCCACACTGCTGTCCCTCCAAGATCACAGCTGCAGGGCAGGTGCACCAAAGCAGCTGCAGACAGCAAAGGGCACTGGCTGCATTGAAGCAGCTGTGAACCATGGGGATGCTCCTAAGGAACAGGAACACACCAAAAATGACATATGGTAGGATTAGAGCTACACAGCACAAGACAGCTAGAGAGAATCACACTCATAGGGCACACTACGTCAATTCTACTTACATCTCTCCAGCCCTCTGCTCCCTCAAAGCTGTCCGCTGCTTCCTATTTGCCCAGCCCCTGTCACACTTCTTGCCACCACCAGGTCCACTGGTCTGTATTTTATAAGTTTGAGGATCGGTGGGCCTCAACACAGGAGCCTCTAGCTAGCAGCACTGGCATCATGAGTGAGGTTTTCAGGACTGCAAATACGAGCCAGGTCTCTGGTGAACAGCCCTGCCACAAATATGGCACTGGTAAGCTGTCCAGGTGACCAATACACAAGTGAGGTGTGAGCAACACAACTGCAAAAGATTGAGCCCTGCAGGAATGGAAGAGGCCCCAGGCACAGCAGCTTAGCCCTCTGACCTACTATCCCTGCCCCCTTATCTCTCTTCATTTAATCCCATTTTCTCTGAAAACAGCCCAAAATGTAACATTAATATCATATTAATAGAGAGTCAAGTTTGGTAATTATCATACCTACTGAACTGCTGATGCGTGAGCACCAGACCCTCCAGCCTGATGGAAAATCTCACATCGCAGCTTCCAACCATGTTCTGAATTTTAAAATCGAGGAACTTTGCAGGGAAGCCCAGCTTCTGCACCACACGAGCATACTTTCTCGCTGCCAGTCGAGACTGCTCTTCGCTGGGGAGGGGCAGATGGGGTTAAAGACGTTCTGACCACCACACCTCCCATGATTCCCCTGTGCGCACATCACAAGCTTCTGATTGTGTTCTCACTGTGTTCACCTGGCAGGGTACGGCTCTATGAGAGGCACCTTCCTCCCAGCATCCTATGATCTGATACAATCTACAATGTTGAACCAGATTTTAATTTTTTAAAAACATTTGTGCCACTCAACATATATATATCTTAAAATACCACAAAATCTGCCCAATGTTCTCTTCTTCTTTTTTTAATGATATAGGGGATTGAACCGAGGAAGCACTGAGTTACATCCCCAACCTATTTTATTTTGAGACAACATCTTGCTAAGTTGCCCCGTTTGGGCTTCAATTTGCAATCTTCCTGCCTCAGCTTCCCCAGGAGCCAGGATCACAGGTGTGCCCAGTTGTGTTCAGGTTTTCTCACACAATTGTCATTCACCTCACACCCAGCACAAGAAGGAAATGCATCCAACTTTGTGGCTGTGTTCTTCAAGCATTTATCCTACCCCAACCCTAAATCCACATCAGGGAATGTAAATCGCTGAGATTTGAGGCCGAATATTCATTTGCTATCATTCCGCTGTTACCAGTAAAACACGGCATGTGCAGCTGGAGTGCCACTAAGGGACAGCCCCTGGGGCAAGGCGTGAACATCATTCTCCCCGTGGGACTGTCCCCCGTGCAGGGTGCAAATCAAATTCCTGGCTCTAAAGCCAATTTGAATCTGCTTGTCTGAACCACAGGAAGTGTTTGATCTCTGATCTAGAGCCTTCACCAGCACACTGCCCATCTTCATGTATTTATTACTTATGCACGTCCCTTCCAGTCACATGATTACCCTTATCCACTTCTAACTCCTGAAATGTCCTTAGCAGGACCCTGTCCCCAAGTTAACAATAAATAGCTTCCATTCAGAAAAACTACAGTTCGTTCAATTGTTCAACTATTTCCCATAATGTTAATCAATTCAAGTTACAAGAATTTGCATAGTTCTGTCATTTTGGGGGATATCAGCTGTGATGATCACATAGAAGTTTCCAAGGAAACAACAAATAGTTCAAAGTCTACATTTAGGTTCACTGTGCAAACATTAAAAGATAGATTAAAACCTTGGACTTTCATCACCAGCAGTAACAACCACTTACATTTGACTTTCTGCACTTTTCCCAAGCAAACACAACATCCTTCACTCTTGCTATTAGAACTAAAGAAAGTAAGTTTGGATAAGTTTTGGTCAGTAATACTGGTTATCTCTTACTAACCAGATTCTCAAAACTCACTATCCAAAACTCAAGAGCCAAACATATTTAAATAACAAATATCTATGCTTATCTAAACTTAAACCCAAGCTTTTACCATTGACTTTTAGAAACCAAACAAATTCAGATAGGAAAAGACAACTTGTGTAATATGAGTATATTTTACAATGAAAGTTAGATAATAAACCTGCAATTTAGTTGCCTACTTTTTCACCAGCCAGTCCAACTTAACATGTTGTGAACATCATTCCAACTTAATATACATGTACACTCAGCCAATATAATTGTACTTTATGACTTAAAATCAGAAGCCTATGACTGGATATTTAGTTTGGTTTTCCCTATTTTAAACAATGCTGGAATGAACACCCTTACTTATATCTTGCACAACTAACCAATAATTACTTAAAAGTAGAGATTTCTTGGATCAAGGATCAGAAGAGAAAGCCCAGAAATCTATTCAGCTACATTTAAAGAGCTTAATATGTAAAGGAAGTTCATGTGTGGTGAGGGGGAGATAGGATTAGAATGGATTCTTCTATAAAGGCACTAGGCAGTGACTTTGGCTTGAAAAAAATTATATTGCTCTGAAACAAAATTCTAGACTTGCTCCATCCAATTAGTTTGAGGTAAATTAAAATTCAAGGTAAATTAAATTTTCAGTTCCTCAGTTGTATTTGCTGTATTTCCAGTGTTCATTAGCCACTAGTCCATGGCTACCCCACTGGTCAGCACAGATACAGAACATTTCCATCATCTAGAGAAACCTCTAGATGAATCAAAATACCAACTATCTTTTCCCCCATATAAAGGAGGATCTCAAAAAGACCAGGAAAACATATGGATGTCAATATTTATATAATTTATGCAAGGGGAATATCTTCCTAAGCACAAACCAAATGCAGAAACCATGAATAAAAAGTCAGATGTACAATACACCCAGAAATCTAAGTTATGTTTAAATAAAGTCACTGCAAAACAATAAATAGTAAGTTAAAAAATATTTACAGCATAAAGTAATAAGAATACTTAAATGCACTGGGTATGGTGGTGCACATCTGTAGTTCCAGCACTGTAAGGACTACAAGCGGAAGGCAGAAGGATCATGAATTTGAGCTCGGCCTGGACAATTTAGTGACCTAGGAAGACCCTGTCTCAAAATACCAAATAAGGGCTGGGGATGTAGCTCAGTACAAAGACCCAATGTTCAATCCTCAGTGCTGAGATGGAAATAAATCTTAGATGCAAAAAGTTACCAGCAGCCAGGTGTGGTGGCGCACACCTGGAAGGAAGATTGCTGCAAGTTCGAGGCCAGCCTAGACTACATAGTGAGTTCAAGGCCAGTCTGCCCTACAAAACGAAACTCTATCTCAAACAAACAAACAAACAAAAACTACTATGACAGATATCGCCATAGAAACAAAAGACAAGTGTCTCCATAGAATACTGAGCAAAACACATAATGAGAAATTTAGATGCTTATGAAAAGATACATAATCTTGGTGGTAATCAAGGCAATGTAAAAGAACAAACTTTCGCTAATCAACTTGCCAAGTATAAATGAGTTTTTGTTTGTATGTTTTGTTTTTTGGTAGTGGGCATCAAACCCAGGGCCTTTCCAATGAGCTACATCCCCAACTGTTAAATTTTTTACTTTGAGACAAGGTCTTGCTCAGATGCCCAGGTTGGCCTTGAACTTGCCTCAGGCTCCACAATGCTGGCATTACAGGTGTACGCAACCGCACCTGACTATAAATACTGAGAAAATGAGCATGGTGCATTCTCAGGTGGGGATAAACTGGCACAACCTTCCAGGGTGACTGACTACCCATTTCCAGCACTGCTGAAGAGAGCAACTCTCCGGCATGCTAGGTGGTATGAGAACAGACAGCACTCCCAGCCTCAGCTTTGCAGGAGATCCGGGAAAGACAGGTCTGTTCAGGGATGCCTTGTGAGCTAATGCACAGGAAATATCTAACTCAAATAGTTCCATCCACTGATCCGCAATGAGCAAAATCCACAGTAACAATTTCTCCACTTACAATGTGCTTTTAACTTACAGCTTTTCAAACCTATAACATGCTTTGTCATTACTGAAGCTTTTTAAATTTTTCAATTCACCTTAAAAACAGTTGTAATAGCTGAGTTAACTCTCCTTGATTTAACAGAAGAGGCTGTAAAGTGTGGTGTATAACTCAACATTGTAAGGCTGAGTGATTTCAACTCAAAATTTGGCATTTCATGAAGTTAACCATTCAGCTAAGAAAAATATTGTGCTCCTACGTGCTTTCAAATATTAATGCCATGGCCTTTTCTTTCACAGTGAACTGCCTGTCTGATAAGGTTTGGGATGCTTCTCCATACCTTTTGGCTCCCGTGCAGACCATCTTCCCAGAGCTGAAGATGAGAGCTGTCGTCCTGGGTTCTCGGATCCTCATGATGACAGCAGCGAACCTCTGTGCACAAATGCCAAGAGGAAAACAACACAGAAGCCAGGAGAGAATCGGCCTCTGCTAGGAATTAACATGGCCCAGCTGGAAAGCTAGGCTGAATATGAAAACAGTCTGAAGAAACAGATTGGATGAGAGAGCCAACCAATGTCTGGATCTATTCTCTCCACATTAATAGAAATGATTTTGATTCTAAAGTATAATTTTAATAACAAGTAAAAGTAATTTTAACAGGTAAAATTTGAATATCTGTTATGCTGCAGATCCCATACTAAGAACTTTGCAGTTTTTTTCTCATTTAGCCTCTTTTTTTTTTTGGTACTGGGGATCGAACTCAGAACCTTGAGCTTGGAAGGCAGCTGCTGCAACCACTGAGCTAAATCCCTGGCCCTCATTTAGCCTCTTAATAGAATAATTTGAGTTATCCCTTCCTAGTGCATAAAGAGTTAAGTAGTTATTTAACTTCCAGCATTACACTGAAATGGTAAATTTAGGACATAAAACCGCAACAACTCAGACTGTTACATTGACATACTTCCTTTTTCTTTCAAAGACTCTTTGGAAAAGAGAATAAGAAGTAAAGTATGTTATGGGCCTCCCAAGACTCACAATGTACCAAACAAAATATAGAACAGAGTGTATATAATGATAGACGTGCTGAAGATGAAGGGAAAAGCTGCTTTGTCATGTTCTTGTTTTCCATAGCAGTTCTCAGTGCGGTCCCCAGATCAGCAGCATTGGCAAGCCCTGCAGGTATTGCCACTGGACTTCAGGGTTGAGGCCCACTGGTCTGTCACACTGACATGCGTTAAATGACCTGATGCTCCTACTTATCCACCACAGATGTTCTTCATCAAGTCTCCTCTCTGCGATAAACTGGGAATGAAACTGGGGTGGGTATCATGCAAGAATACGTGATTCATCTGTGCTACTCCACAAGATCATGGATCATTTCATGATCAGACAGGCAATTTCAGATTAAAGTATAAACAGATAAAGAACCCTAAGTCAGCACTACACGGAACTGGTCATGTTCTATTAATGTTTTTTTTTACATATGTGTACTAAAAGGTAAAGTTCACCTGGTATTCATTTTGTTAAATTCTTAAAGTAGCTTAGGTGCCACACCAGCATTCCTTTGCATGTTAAGTACAAAATCAGATAGATCCTCTCTATGCCCCCACAGACATACCAAGGAAAGGAAAATTAAATGTGGGCTCAGGATGGTGGAGAACATGCTTAAGATGCTGACCCTTTAATACTGTGATCAATCACTGCTGCTGCGATAGAATTCTAACTCATCACTGTGTTTCTATTCTTATCACAGTCAGTAGTATTAACTGTATAAAAAAGGAAAGCTATTATTGTTTGGGTAACATTAAATTCAGAAATCAGCAACAATACTATTGCAACAGCAAATACAGTTGATTCCTGGATTCTTACTACTATGATCCCAGAAGTGTTCCCCAATCTGTACTAAGCCAGTGGACATTTCCCCAGTAGAAACCAGGCCATACTCATGTTTGTACCCCAAGCACAAAGCCTGGCAAACTATTATATGTTAATTGGTTTGGCAAATCCAATGGTAAACAGGTCACTGAAAACAGGATTCCTGCCCTTGGCAAAGCACACACACAAAAAATCAAACTTTGAGGAGAAATAAATTCCTTGAATCTTACTTTAGTAATTAGAATTTAAACAATTTAGCTTTCTCAAATAAGACAACTTGCAAATGGAAAAGTACCAAAGTGTTGGCTAGGCGGGGAAACATTTAGAAACAAGTGTTTTCAGTAAGATGATGGCATTTTTTTTTTTTATTATTAGTACGGGAATTGAACTCAGGACCTTGTGCTTACGAAGCAGGAGGCAGCACCACTGAGTTAAATCCCCAGCCCAATGATGGCATTTTAAGAAAGCCATTAGGCTAAAAAGTAGTCATACTGAAAGATCTTGACTGACAAAGAAAAATCTTAAATTTTATTTTTTATAATTTGTTTCTTTGAGACAGTCTCATTTTGTAGTTCAGGGTGGTCTGGAACTCACTATATAGCCCAGGGTGGCCTCGAACTTGTAGTGATCCTCCTGCCTCAGCCTCCTGAGTGCTGGGATCACAGGCATGTGCCGCCACATCCAGATTTTTTTTTTAAAAATCTTAGTTTTAGAAACTACTAAAATACTGATTTATTCAGCACAATGAAATTATTTCTTATAACTTCAAAACTGAAAATGAGATAGTTAAATTTTTATATTGCCAAAACCTTTCACTAAAATTTTTTAAAGATAAAAAACAAAAGAATGACTCAATATCATAATCATAGGAAGCAAAGTAAATTTAAAGAAAAATGAATGGTTGCCAGCAATATTGAGAAGTCTTACCTTTGGATTATATTCTGCATTTTTGGCATGCAAGGCGATTTTCTTCAGATCTAATTTACAGGCCAGGTTTACAGTGGAAACTATGTTCCTAAAGAAACAAGTCAATTTAGAAAATTACATAGGATAGAATATAAAAAGACAAACCTATTAACTTCCTTATTTCATAGGTTATACCTTAGTAACTTTCAGAGGGAGAATTCTTTTCAATGTGAAATAGGGAGTAACATGGTCTTTGGTAAAGTGTGAAATCCCAATGTGCCAAAACAGTTTTTTCTAAAATTTCATGACTAAAATTAAGTTTTAAACCTTAAAAAAACTGCCTCAAAATGGAAGCCACAATTCCTAATCAATTTACAAATCAAATTCCATTTTGTGTCTTTCTTTACATCTTTTGTGCTTACCCAACCCTAAGCACAATTGTCAGCAACTTCAGTGTGGTAGTATAAACAAAACAATCCTTCAAGAATGTATGTATTGATTTTTCACCCTCCTTTAAGGGTTCAAGAATTAGTGCTTCATTTTACAAACAAACAAAATGTTTAAAACAATAACCCACTCAGAACTGATAAAGAATAATGAATCTGAAATCCTCTTTACACTGTTATCCTGAAATTAGTTGTCATTGCATTCAGGAATATAAAATGTGTACCCAGAAAAATCTCTCAATTTAAAAACAATGTAGTGCAAACATACACTAATTTTAAAAAGTGGCCAAATAAGAACAGACAGACACACTTACTGGAGTTGAGGCACAATGCCTGAGCGTTCCAAGGCTGGGGTCACTGGAGTCATGGGAGTCATGGCCACCAGAGGCAAGGCATCGGGGCTCGGTTTCTCAGCTGAGGGCTGGGCTGAGTCAGCAGCACCAGGGTGCAGATGTGCACAGGAATTTGATAAAATGCTGCTGTGTAAGCCCAGCTCATCATCCTGTTCACTAGGTAATGGCAACTTATTTTGATGACTTTGAGTGTTGCGATTTTCTTCAATTTCATGCTGGCTTCTGACAGCAGTCTGGTCTCTATTTTCTTGAGTAAGTTCATCTGGTAGGAAGCTAAGATCCACAGACGAGAAATCACTGGGTATGTCTTTGACTTCAAGATGTGACTCCGACGTAGTATCTGGGCTGGATGGGTTAGGTGTGTAGACGTCATAAGGAACAATTGGGCTGAACAGAGGAGACAAGGCTGGAACACAGTCATCCTGCACAGCTCCCAGAAGAGACAAACACAACAACACAGCAGTGTGTTACACCACAGGGAAGCCATGCTGGCAGGCAAGCCCTGCATTCTGTCTGAGAGGCAGTTGGAGATTGCTCATATTCATCCTCTTTCCACAAAGTCTCATTTGAACCTATTACAGTGTTACGGCACAGTTCATAGAAACAGGGAAGTTGATTTTTAAATGCAAAGAAGACATTTGTCACAAAATGCTTTTCCTACTTGCATGACATCCCTAGAAACTTGCCATTCTACATTCAATTTTGTAAGAGGCAATTGAGTAACCATGCTCTATATTGTGTAGACTCTGAACAGATTCACTGTATTACTTGAGTTAATTATAAATTCAGTTGACTTAAATAAGTTTAGTTTTAGAGAGAAAAATATGTGAAGTTAAGATACAGTCTTGAATGCTAACACTCAAAATGACCCTACATCATTTTTATCTAGTCAATGGAGAGATAAGAAAACATTCCAGTTACAAGAATTCACAACAGGAAGAAAGTAAATTTAAATGTTAAGAATAGTTTGGGCTGGGGTTGCAGCTCAGGGATTAAGTACTTGTCTTAGCATGCATAAGACTCTGGGTTCAATCCCAGCACCAAGAAAACCAAACAAAAAGTTTAAACCAGAAATGGTGGTGCACGCCTGAAATCCAGCCCTTCAGGAAGGAGGTGAGGCAGGAGACTTGCAATTTTAAGCACAGTATGTGCGTCTTAGTAATTTAGAGAGGACCTATCTCAAAAAAAAAAAAATTGTTTTTCAGGGCTGAGCATGTACCTTGGTGTAAAGGCCCTGGGTTCAATCTGTGGTACCATTTTAAAAAAAAAAAGTTTAAATTAATGTGTTGTACTTCCACTCCAGAGAAGGAAAGACGGTGAGGAGACAGCGTGCACCTAAGGGAAGCAGCTGATGTAAAACTCATGGGTTTTATCATTGAAAAAAGTCCGTCTCCTTGCTACGTGAATTACCACCTGCTTCACCCAGCTGAGCCCTGACTGCCGGGCAACCTCCCCCTTAGATCTTACTTCCAACACCTGAAAGGCCATGCACAGTGTTGCGCCCCTGGAGACAAAGGTATCTGCGCTAACACAACAGCCTGGTGGGTCCTACTGAGTTGCTCTGGAAACATGACATTACTCTCTTGAAACAAGATTTCATGTGGAACTGTGTGCTCTGCCCGTCCCTCTCTACTCCAGCGTGTGGCCCCGGAAAACCGGCAGGGACCTGGCCCAACTCCTCAGCGGGGCCCTTCTCCTCTCTGTCTAGCTGGTGAGGGCCTCCGTGGGGTCTCCCTTTCCTCCTCCCTCCCATCAGGACACATCAGCAGGGGCAGAGCTGTCACCGCGCCACTGGACACACACCTGGGGTGCACCTGTCCCGTGCTCAGACCAGACCCGCTGCGTGGACTCTGCAGAGACGCCACCTCGGGGGTCCCAGCCCCACACCGCCGCTCTCACCTCCCCATCCCGGAGGTCGCCGCGGGAAGCCCGTGTCTCCCCCTCAGCGCCGCTCCATGCGCACGTGGGGTGCCCCACCCCGGCCTCCAGGTTGCATTCAGCCAGGCCCGGTGCTGGACTTTCGGTTCTTCCGAATTGCAGTCTGTGCCCCCGCGCCCCGAGATCCTCGCTTTTATAACAAACCCTCAGAAAGAAACAGTGGCTTTTTTGCTCCTTTTTGAAGAGACTGTCATCTTTTCTCCAACCCTTGACTCTAAAGGTTTGAGACTGGAGCCTGCGCGGTGTAGGGGCGCAGATCTGCGGCCCCGGTCTCAGAGGCAGGAGGGTCTCTTGAGCCCCGGATCAGGGCCAGCCTGGGCCATCTGGCGCCGCCGTGAGCCTTTGTCTCAAAATGTTAAAAAGGACTGGGCTGTGGCTCAGGGCAAAGGCCGCAGGTTCAATCCCTAGAACCTCATGCAGTTAACTGGGAGAAGCCTCAGGTGCCTTGAGGCACCCTTGCAACCCCGAGCCCGGAGCAGCCGCTTCTCTGGCCGGCGGTGACCAGACTAGGCCAACTCCCAGGCCCCACCCTTGTCTGCACAGCCGAGCGCGCGGGGAGGGATCAGGAGGTCCCAGCTGGGCGCGTGTGGCGCTGCAGTCTCCCGGGTCCGATGGGCCCGGAGTGACTCCCAGGCTCACCTGGGCGGCGCACTGGTCCAGGTAGAACTCCAGGTAGGGCGGCCCCTCCATGGGGCCGGCGCTGCGTGGCTGCCCTTCATCCACCGATGCCCTTTATCCGCGGGCGCACTTTATCGGCGGCGGGGCGGGGCCAGGCCGCACGGCTCACCTCGAGCACAGCTGAGCCGCGCTGGGGCCTGCAAGGCTGATTTTCTTCAGTGCTTCCAAATGTGGCCTTCGCCTCCGGAATGGCGGTGTCCGTGCGAGCAGCGTGCAAAGAGCGAGGTGGGGTTTGTGTCTCCTCAGCACAGGGGTGACTCTGAGGGCGGGTGCCAGGCATGGTGTTCTCAGGTCCTTGCTTTCCCCCGCCAATCTAAAGCCACCCACTGAAAGAGCTGGGGCTCCACAGGGAGGGCCCAGGTAGCTCAAGAAGAGAATGCAAAACCAAATATTCAGAGCGGTTTTCCCTTTCTGGAAATCATTATTTTAATTTCCAAAGCCACAACTCTCAGAAGAACTCAACTGTGCAAGGGAAAAAAAGTGGCACTTTTCGTGTGAGATTTTCAGACGTACGTGGAGACGCATAGCCTGTCTTTTCCACTCGACAGTGCTCTCCGAGGATAAGAATATGGACCCCTCCTTCGTATTTCTGTGCCACGTCCACCTGCCCCCTCCGACTGGGAGGGTGAGGGGCACTGTCCTCAGAACTGGCTTGAGAGGCACCAGGATTGAGAAATGACTCCAAGAATTGAATCACGAAAGAAATCTTACAGGACTTTTAATCAGGAATAAAGGAAACATTTGGATAAAACTGGAATAGTATACAATGGTATGTAATTTAATTTAGTGGTTTATTTTAAATGAGATAGTCTACCTACTAGCACTGCATGTGCCTATGTAGATCAGTAACTATTGGCTCTCAGTTTTGTGGTCAGACTGTTCTGGGCAGAATTGTGTCTTGAAAAAGTCACAGGCTAAAGCCTTAAGCCGGTATGACCCGTGTTTGATAAGAAGAGAAAGTTTGGGGCCGGGGATTTAGCTCAGTGGTTCTGCCACCTGCCTTGAAACCACAAGGTCCCACGTTCAATCCCCAGTACAAAAAAAAAAAAAAAAGAAGAAGAAGAAGAGAAAGTTTGGACACTCAGGCACCAGGATAGTTTGTGGACCAAGCTGAAGTCCATACAGGGCCCAACGAGGAGACAGCCATCTAGCAGAGTTCAGGAGAAGCAGAGCTGCCAACGCCCTGACCTTGACTTCAACTCCACCTCTGTGAGCAGCTCCTGTCCTTAAGCCTCCAGGCTGTGGTATTTTGCAGCTGTTACTGAGGTCCTTGGGCAGCCGACATCCAGAAAGAGATTATGCTCACTAAGCCAGTCAAACCAAGGAGTCCTTAGAAGGGCCTGTTGCCTTGCTGGGAAGGAGAGTCTACGTGTGAGGTGGATTTCCATGAGCAACGTTCTTCCCTGCTGGCTCTGGGGATGGATGGGCCAAGTTGCAAGCATCAAGCAGTGGGAATGACCTGTAGGGGCTCAGAGTGACTCAGATTTGATGGCCAGAAATGAAACTGGACCTCATCTGGTAGCTAGGAACTGGGTTTGGCCATCAGTGATGATAAACTTGGAAGTGAATTTTTCCCAGTGCTCCTAGAGATGCCAGTCTTTCTTTGATTGTAGACTCTGAGCACTGAACCCAGCTATGCTGTCCCCGGACTTCAACCTACATACCTGTGGGCTTATAAACTGTGTTTTTCTTGGTTTGGGGGGGTTGTTGTTGTTTGTTTTTCTGAGACAGGGTCTTGCTGTGTAGTTCAGGCTTGTCTTGAACTCCCTGTGTAAACCAGGATGACCCTGAACTCACAGTGATCCTCCTGCCTCAGCCTCCTGAGTGCTGGGATTACAGGCATTCACCACCATGCCCAGCTTTGTTATCAGTTTTGATTCTGACTTATTTTTGCTTTGGAATTTATAGTTTATTTATAGTATATTTATATATTTCAAATCTTCATATATTTTCAAAAGAAAAATAGAAACACACACCAAAAAACCTTACCCAAAAGTTCCAGTTTCTTTTTTCTTTCTTTAGTTTATTTTTTCTTAATTTGCTATTGTAAATAGTGGATAGGAGTATACGTAAACTTTTACCAAGCACTTACATGTACAAAATATTATTCTTTTTCTTTCATTTATTGCTATTAATATCTGCAAGTGAATAATGTAAATTAGGTGAATTATGTCCACATTCATGACGTTTGTTTTTTTGTTTTTTGGGCACGGGGGATTAAACTCAGTCCTTTGCCCCTTAAAATTTTTTATTTTAATTTAGAGTTTTGGTAAATCACTAAGTTGCCCAGGCTGTGTTCAAAGCTGTGACCCTCCTGCCCCAGCCTCCCAGATGCCACAATTAGGCATGTGCCACACTCCCACCTACACAGAGTCTTTAGGAGAGGTCAACTGTATGGAAAACATGCAGTTATTATCCCTCATGATAGAACGTCTTAAAATGAGCCCACATTAAATATAGGCTTTATGTAACGAAGAATGGAATTGCTGGTGACTAGTTGATATTTTCTGGACATTTTAATCAAATTTACTAATATCAGTTTAGGAAATTAAAAATAATGGAGCCAACAGCTTTTTTGCAGCTCTCAAACCATTGTGGAAAGCTTCGAGGTCTGTGCCAGGCCTCGCCAGTTGGAGGCACATGATGGTTGAGGTCTGTGGTTCTCTGGAGTAGCAGGGAAGTGGTTGGTCACCAGACTCGGAGTCAAGGTTAGAAAAGAGGAGTAGTCCTGCGCAGGGGTGGGTTCACAATAAGGTGTATTTCAAATTCCAAGAAGAGGTTTTGAATATTTCACCAGGAAAAAATGAGAAATTTTTGAGGTGATAGATATGCTAATCACCCTGAGTGAATCATTACAGTGTCTACACGTATCAAAAATCACAGTGTGGGGCCGGGGATTTAGCTCAGTGGTGCCGCCGCCTGCCTCTCAAGCGTAGTCTCGAGTTCGATCCCCGGTACAAAAAAAAAAAAAAAATCACACTGTGGACCCAAAATCTGCACAATTACTATGCGCCAATTAAAACAAGAAAAGTGAAGGAGCTTGTGTTGAAGGAATGTTGAGAAAGTGTTTCGCTAGGGGGCGCTCCTTCCTCTCCATGAAGGGCGTCCGGTAAAGGAGCAAACAGGGCTGAGGCCACAGCACAAAGGGGTGAGTGCATTCCCTGCGTGTTTTGTTTTGTTTGAAAGTGGTTATGTATCCATGGCAAAAAAGCAGAGTGTTCTTCTAAAAACAGATAGGACTAGTTACTTTATCGGTCAATGCAAATATATTTGTACATTTTATACAAGGAGATTCCATTTAAACGAGAACAGTGGCACACACCTGTGATCCCAACACTGGGAGTCTGGAGCAGGAGAATCCTCAGATCAAACTCAACCTGGGCAACTTAGCTACTTACCAAGACCCTGTCACAAAATAAAAATTAAAAAGTAGATCAGTGTGAAATCTCTAGGTCCCCCGAGCCTTGCCCCAACGCGCACACACACACACACACACACACACACACAGCAGAAAAGAAAAAAAGGCTCAAGGTGGCTAAACAGGAAGTGCTTGTAGATGCATACTCATTCGCACTGCCTTGATGGGTGTGCACTGTGAAGGGGAATGTTGCTGCCTAGGAAATAACTGAAAAGCAAGGCCTTGCACGAGTGTAATAAGGTTTCCAGAGGCCCATGAGGAGAAGGCAGTTTGGTCCAGTGACCATCTTGCTGCATGCCTTGCTGCCTTTCTGCTAGGAGCCATAGACACCATTGTGATTGATTTCTGCAGGGAGCTGTTGTTTTCCAGAGAGGCACTTTGTACGTGACAGCCTGCAAGTGGATTCAAGAATTGCTCAAAGGTCTTTTCTAGATCAATATTTGGGTGAATTCTCATCCTTTCCCGTAATCATTTGAAATCAAATACCGCCCTGTCGCTCACCCTTCCCCTTGTCAGTGGATGAGGAACAAGGATGTTGGTGTCCAGGAAGGAGCCTTGGGCTGGCTCAGTCTGGGGGTGCCAGGGCCCAGCTCTGAGCACCATCTCTGCTCCGGCCTTGGCTCCCCACCTCAAAGCCCTGAAAGTCCCCAGCCACGGTGGCCCCCAGCCCTGTAACAGTGCCACAACTCTCAGGCACTTTCGCACAGGTGGCCACAGAGAAGACTTGTTGTATTTTAATTTTCCAGGAGAATGGATTAATTTCCTGTAAAATTACACAAGAATTAAAAATTCATAAATTCTTTTCTCTCCTCTGGCTAAGTCCTATTATGTCGTCTCTGTGTGAACTCTCCCATCAGAGTTCCTACAATAAAGAATCTGTGAATTATTTTTTTGAGCTCTGGAGATGGAACCCAGAGCCTTCACATGAGCTACATCCCCAGCCTCTATTTTATTTTTTGTTTTAAGAGTCTCACCAAGTTACTAAATTACCCAGGCTAGGCTCAAATTTGTGATCCTCCTGCGTCAGCCTCCCAGTGCCGTGATTACATGGGTGTGCCACCACACACAGTTAAGAATGTATGATTATTTATTTCTGTGGTACTGGGGATTGAACCCATGGCCTTCACCCTAAACTCTATCTCCAACTCATTTTTGTTTTTTGTTTTGAGGCAAAATCATGTTAACTTGCTCAGGCTGGGCTGGAACTTGCAATCCTCCTGCCTCAGTTTCCCAGCACACCAGTGCACCCAACTAGATTAGATGATTTTTTAAAGAGCATATTATAAATGGGAAGTGCTATTTATAAGCATAGTTTGGGCGCTTGTTGCATGGAACTAGAACCACATCAATCAGCACCAATTCTTGGCAGGACAGAATTGCCTTTCCTTCTCTCACACTGAGCACAGCCCAGGAAGCTGATCCCACTGCCCTGACTGTTCACAGCAGCACAAGCAGGTTGGGTTTCACAACACTTTCTCAGGACAGCACATGTGAGGACTCAGCTTCTGTCTTCGCCTGAACTTCACTTTGTACACACTGTGTGAAGAAATGAGTCCTTACAGGTGGCTATGCTTGCATGCTGTATTAGAGTGATGTTGGAAATTAACCCGCAATGGTCTTTTCCCACCAAATAATTATGTAATATTCAAAACTTTAGTTCTTATAGACATTCTTTAGCAACTTGAAGCACATTTACATTTACTAAATAAAATCACGTAAACTTCTAAAGTTGCAACTATTACCCTTCTGTGAAGAATCTGCCCCAGTGTTTCTAACCTGACAAATGCAAGAAGAATGTTACTTTCATTTTTGCAGTTTTGGAGAGAGAAAATGTGCCTTTCCCATAACATATCAGGAGGTGGGAGAGTGCAGTGGTTAAGAGGTCAGACTTGCCAGGTGTGATGGCTCAAGCTTACAATCCCAGCCCTTGGGAGGCTGAAGCAAGAGAATCACCATGAGTTCAAGGCCAGCCTGAA